AATTCAGTTATTGGCTGATGTAAATGTACCTGGCTAAATGGCTAAGTTGAGTGATGTAGTCAGTCATGTTTTGAATACCAGTCAGAGATTTTGGTGGATATAAGTTCACGTATAGATATATGTATATCTATCTATACGTGAATTTATAAATATTCATATATGCATTTATATGAATAAATTAGCTCTGGGATTTCCAGACAGAATCATTACTATCATATTTATACAGTTAAGCTTGTATATACCAAATTTATTGGGGACATAATAAATTTATGCTAAAATAAAACTTTATTCTCTTGATTTTATAGATCTCATAAGAATTTTCTTAAAAATCATTTAAGGTGACAATGTTTCATTAAATTAAATCAGCATTTTCTTATATCATGTCTGAAAATTTCATTTAAAAATTGTTATTATTAGTTTTTTATGGTGGTTTGAAAGAAAATGGCCCCTATAGGCTTACAGAAAGTGGCACCATTAGGAGTAGGTATGGTTTGTTGGAGGAAGTAGGGTACTGGGGCAGGCTTTGAGGTCTCAAAATCTCAAACCAGGCCTACTAGCTAACAGTTCTTACCTGTTATTACCTGTTGACCCAGATGTAAAACTCTCAACTACCTCTCCAGCACCATGTCTGCCTATGTGCTATATACTTCCTACCATGATGATAATGGACTAAACCTTTGAACTGTAAGCCAGCCCCAATTAAATGTATTCCGTTGTAAGAGTTGGCATGATCGCGGTGTCTCTTCACAGCAATAAAAACCCTAAGACAGGTCTGCTAGTATTTTTTATAGGATTAGTAGGTAAAATTTGATTCTAAGATTAAAACATAAATTATGGCATGTGTGGTACTCTCTGACCTACAGAATTTTGTGCTTGAGAATTTTAACATGTTGTATTTGTAATTTTATTTCTTTAGAACAGAAGATTATTGGGGATAATGGTATGCAAGAATGCTGTGAGCATCATTCCTATGGACTTAGCATCTACGTTTCACAGTGTATCTTTTAGTGTGTATGTGCATGGAAGTGCTGTTTGTGTGAATGTGTATGTGTGTGTACATGCATTTAGAGGTTGGAGGTCAAACTTTGGGCTTCTAAGTGTCTGTAGTTCCTCGGAAGTCCTCTATATTTTTTTTAATAGAGGTCTCTCATCACTCTAAATTTTGCCCATCAACCTAGATTGGCTGGCTAACAGTGAGACTACATAAGGGTATCTTGGTTCTTGGCTTGGCATGCGCCTGGAACCCTGAGACTCCAAGGGAGAAACGGCAGAAACCCAGGGTCCTGACACGCAGTCTAGTCTGCATGGACCTACATTGTTCAGTCACGTAGGCCATTACAGCCCCTCCCAAAGTGCACAGGTTGAGGGCTTGACTACAGGCCTCAGGCCCTAGAGATTTACATACTAATGAAGGCCAGAGGGCAGAGCAAATTAAACATGCTTCCCCAGAACCTCCCCCTTTCTCTCTCTCTATTTAACTCAAGTCTGCCCTGAGTTTCACAGGGATACAGCCAGATCCATCTACCATCTGCCATGAAAATAAACCCTTTTGGAACTATAGACATTCTCGTGTCTTTGGGGCCTGCCACTCCCAAAGCCTCCAGCCTCTGGAACCTTAGACTTTCTCCTATTTGTGGGACTCGCTGGAGTAGAAAGTCTCTGGGACACCACTGTGGCTTATTTTCCCACAGTTGTGGGGCAGTGGGCTGTGAGAAGTAGCTGGGTGCCTGGTTGAGCAAGTCTTGAACCCGGACCTTTATCAGGGCGGCAGGTGTTCAGCTCTGCCCCCAGGCCCTGGTTCTTTTCATTCAGCTTTGGCCCTCCACAGCCCCTCCCAAAGAGTGGTCTGTGACCATCAGTCAGGAGGAACAGTGCCTCAGGCTCTCCCACATGTAGATGAGGTATCTCCACGCTCTCAGACCAAGCCAATAGGCGTCATCTGCTGCCAGACCCTAACCCACCCTGAAACTGTATATAAGAGCTGTATTCAGGAGAAGTAAAGGTGTGTTCGAGAATCATCCTGGTGTCCGAGAGTTTCTGTCACAAGAGCTGTAACACTAGAGCTGTAACACTTGGGGAGAGAGAGATCTGCTCTCTGGGAACCTTCCTGGGACACCAAGCTGCTTCTTTGCCAGCTAGCCAGCTTCCTATCGGCCCAGCCCAGCTCGAGCTGACTCAGCTCTGAGAGACAGGTGCAGCACCTGGGAGTGACCGAGCAGCGACTGTGGAGACTCAGGCAGAGGCAGCAGTGGGGGCAGGCAATCTCTCCTCCCTGCTCGCACTCTGTACCCTTTGGCCCAGACCTCTCACACCAGGCCTGGCCAGAGACCAATGGACAGTGGAGACAAGGGCAGAGGCGGTGGCAAAGACAGTAGCGGACCCTCAATGCTCTCACTCTGTCCTCAGCTGGGAGATCATCGTGGGACACCCTCCGGAACCGGGGACCCACAGCTAACAAGCCCCAGGGATCTGTCTCCACCTCTCAAGTGTTGAGCTTACAAGCATGCCATTAAACAGAGTTTTGAAAATGAGTTCTGGGGGTTGGACTCAAGTCTTTTCAAATATTTTACTGAGTGAGCTATCTGGATAGCTCCTATAGTGAATCTTTTAATATATTTAAATATGCAAATATTCAAATAGTGAATTGAAATTTTATTACCAAAAGAAGTTAAAAAAATAGTGTGAAAACTCATTGAAGTTCTATAGTAGGAGTACATTACATACTAACTATAACTGATTTTTAATTCCTTTAATTTCTTGTTTCCAGATTAGTAATCCAGAAAACACTCAGAACATATCACTCAAGGTAAGTGTGTGTGTGTGTGGGGGGGGGGGGGGCAGAAATCTTATCAAATGAGGCCCCCAAGTGGTAGTTTAATGAGAACGGTCCATGCAAAAGAATTCTTATGGTAAAAGAGTGTTAAGCAAGTGACAGGTGATCCCACTAAAAGCAATGAAAATTAACATTGTAGCCTGATAACTTAAGGTAAATTTTACTGTTTTCAGTCAGAAATACAACGGTTATAGTACAAATAACATGAAAGTGTACTTGATGCCAGAAAGCCAATCTCACTTTTTTATTTTAAAATGACTACACATGGTCAACTTCTACCAAACAAGGTTGCCTACCATTTGACTTCAGACATCTTCCTACTCCCTACATCTTTTTGAGACAGGGCCTAGTGTTCAATTTGCATCTGAAATGTTTCTCAGAGGCACAGGCCTCAAGTGTTTGTCCCCACCTGGTGGCTTTATTTTGGAAGGTTGTAGAAACTTTGGACAGTAGGACCTACTTGGAGGAGCCAGGTCACTGAAAGAAGGTCCTGGAGTTGTCTTATCCCTGATGGATTCTCTGTCACTCCACATCCTCTCAGATTTGATATCAACTTCAATGCTCTCCTGTAGCCTTCCATGCCATGAAACTTCTGAATCATGAACCCAAATAAACCCTTCCTCCCTCAAACTGTTTGTGTTACATAGTTTGGTCACAACAACACAGAACTAATTAATTAACAAAGCAAGGTATTCCTTTTACCCACATCATCAGAATTCTGGGATTGCAAAAGTATGCCACCATTCTTTGCTCTGGAAATTTTCTTTAAAATTAATGATTTTCTATGCATTTCTTTAGACACTTATAATCTCAGGCTTAAAAAAATAATTCCCAATTTATGTTCTGTTTGCCATTGCTAGTGTAAATATTTTGCTAAGACTGGCTGTACAGCCAAAGCCTCTGTTTTCTGATAGCTGGTTCTGAAGTCATATGGTTAGGCTAGCAAGAAAAGATAGGATGTAGCTCCCAGGAGGGCCTCCTTGACAAGCATGTTTGACAATTGAAAATACAGGGAATATTTGATTACATTTGCATCGACAAATCACATACCCCTATATATATGGAAACTTCACCTGCGTTTATTCATGTGAAAGATAAAGTTCAGAATCTAAGTTATTTTATCTTACAAATGCACAAATATCGTCTGTAGCAACAGTTAAGTATTTGCCTACAAATATTTTTATTTTAACATAATTATATTCAATAGTTTAAAGAAGTAGGACAGAGATCAGGGCCTCAAGCCAGAAGCCTCCCACAGGTAAGGCCAGAGAAGTGGAGACTCTGCAAAATGGTCCTTCCAAGTGGCTTATTAAGCCTCCAAGGCAAGATTTCCTTCTGCCCTTAGTCAAACTTCCCCAAAGCTCACGGGCCGCAAGTTCATTCAGATCTCACTGCACAGAACACTAGGCTCGACCAGCCACACAACACTCATTTCTCTATGGTAGTTGGGTTTCAGGCTGTGCTGGAGACTGAGGAGGGAGGATGAGCCCTCGAGGAGAATTAAGGATTTTAATCAGATTCACGTGAAGAGAAATGCCATGGGCACATGCCCTGATGCCATAGTGTCGTTGTTTGTCAAGCTCACAGAGGGGTTTGGGACAGATGGAACCCTTCTGTTCTAGGTAACCCCGCCCCACCTCCCGCAACTGTGGCATTCTCCTGCTGAGGCAACTGAAGCCCCAGCAGGAATCTATCATGAACATTTGAGACTTAGTCTTGTCAGGGTGGTTGCGGACCAGAGTCGCTGTGGATTGGGTACAGTAAGGCCGGCTTTCCAAGCCACCGCTGCCTCGCCGCGCACACCAAGACGCCGCACGAGCCGAGCCCGCGTTCTGACAGAGGCCCACGCGCTAGGGCGGGGCTTAAGTGAGCCGCTTTAAAGGCTCCCGGGGCGGGTCCCGCCCCCCGCCTCTCGTCATTGGCTCTCTCTGGAGCGGCTTTGTTCCCATAGGTGCAGGGGGCGGGGCTGCGTGAGACAGGCGTGGAGGGGGTGGGGGGGCTTCACCTCAGCGGCCCCCGCCCTGCTAGAAGAATGACGTGCGGTTAGGCTGACAGGCTCGCCCGCGCGCCGGTGCGGCGTTCCTAGGGGAGCCTCGGAGCCCGCCCGCGCTTCTCTCGTGGACGACGGTGGCGGTGGCGGCGCGCGCGAGCGAGGGCGGAGGTGGCTCGTGCGTACGTGTGAGTGAGCGTGTGTGTGTGCGTGTGTGAGTGTGTGCACGCGCGTGTGGAACCCGGGTACCGGGCGCGGGTGCCCCGCTGCCTTCCACACCCTGCCTGCTCCGCCGCTCCTTCCTCGCCCCTCTCCCTCACCGCGGGCTGCCATCGTGAGAGAAGGCCGCGGGACACAGGTGTGCTAGGCTTGCGGGACCGCTGGAGACAAAGGGGGCGCGGAGGTGAGCCCGCCATGGCCTCCCGGAGCCTGGGGGGCCTGAGCGGGAGCCGCGGCGGCGGCAAGAAGAACCTGAGCGCCCGCAACGCTGCGGTGGAGCGGAGGAACCTCATCACCGTGTGCAGGTGCGGGGCTGCGGGCGCCGGGCTGAGGGAGGTGCTGGGGCTCCACGCTGCGGCCCGCGCCGCGCGTGTCCGCGGACGAGCGGGGCCCTGCAGAGGGGCGGTAGCTTCTCCCCCACGAGGCCGTGGACCAGCCCTCGGCTCTGGACGTCCTCGGTTGGAGGCTGCCCCGGCGAGGGCCGGGGCGGAGCCGGAGAGGATCTGTGTGGAAGCGGCCAGCTAGTGTCTGAGGAGAAGAGGGCGGGGGAAGAGCAGCACCCCGCTGCTGTAGTAGTCGCTTAGATGCCCCCAAATCCCAGTGCGTCCTCTTGTTTCCTCTGGTTGGCGTCTATATTCTCACTCCTTTCACTCGGCCCACATCTGTATTGGGTGTTTTAAGTCTTGTCAACTACAGTGCTAGTGCTGCTAGCGGGATTATGGAAGGCTCCTAGTCCTCCAGTCAGTCCTTTATTGGAAGATGTGCCTTTATTTAAATGCTTCCTGATTGTAAATGCATCCCTTCCTCCAGGAAATATAGAAATAGATAACCACTATCTATAAATCAAGAATTCAGAAAAAAAACTGATTTTGAACACGCTGATAAATTTTCTTTAAGTCTTATAAATTTCAAGGCATACACTTCTTAGTAACCACTCAGAGCCAGTAAGCTCTGTTAAAATGATTTTTGTTCCATCATCCTGGTTAATCATCAACCAGTGATAATTCTCTAGTTACCAGGTAAATGATGAAACCTTTCCTGCCTCTCTGGCTTATGTCTATTTAATTTTTTTCTTGTGTAAAATCGTGGCTAGCATCTTAAGCAGATTGCAGCTATCTGTCGTAGGAGTTACATTCAATGATTTAAGCAACTTTTAAAAGTTGGATTCTCATGAATGCTCATCTGTCAGGAAGACTTTCGTTCACAGTTTGCATTGTAAGTGGTAAAATAATATGGATTATATTTATTATTTATAGTGTGTAGTATACAAGCTTTTGGCACAGATGGGCTTTATTACATTGTTTTAAATTGAGGCAAATTTCAAAGTTAGATACATAGAAAAATAAGCTAGTCGGATAGTCTTATCTTTTAGAGATATTAAAATGATTTTTTTAAAGAAATGAATTTCAAAGCAGGTTTCAGCCTAAACTGTGCTTTTTGAGTCCTTATGCTCATCATAGCTTCAATAGACTCCAAACTTCCTGATAGTTTGACATCGAAAGATGGAAGAAGTTCATCTAGTGGAAATGTAATAAACGTTGTCATTAGCTAGTGTCTTAGTACCACCTCCTCTTTTTCTTCATTGTTTTGTCAGGTGTACAATAATGTTGGACCAGATTGCTAAGGATTTCAAGTGATGGACTTAAAATGAATAATAGCCATCAAGCATTAATGTTTCCAAATATGAGCACGATGATAATGGTAGAAAAATATAGCAGCTAGGTGAGGCATATGCGTTTTTCTCTAAACATTTGAATTGTGGCCCATTTTGTGATTCTTTATTGATGTCCTGGAAAAGTGGGAATTTATAAAATAGAACAAACAAAACCAACTTCCAACCACTACATATAATTTCTTATACTTGCACAGTAACGCTTTTTCTTTTCCTTAAAAAGTTAGATATAGTTTTGGTTTAGGTTCAGTGCTATATCATAAAACTATACAATTCTGTAGATTTAATAACATATACAAATACAATATTGTTACTGTTTTGAATTTTGGAATTAGGCTTTAGGATAGTCAGGAAAAGAAATTGAATTTGGGTTCATTATGATTGTGTGTGTATATGTGTGTGTAGTTCAGTTTGTTATAGTAAACATTTATATATTGTGGACTAAAACCACTGTATAGTACTTACCAAATAAATATTTAGTATATTTTTTCATAAGTTGTACTGGAGAGAAAATGGTCACTTGAGAACTCTAAATTTTCCACACTCAACTCCAAAATATTTATACACTGATTTTAGCTACCCTATTTTGTGTACATATTTTTCATTATTTACAACTTTGAAAAATTAAGGTATATTTTCCATGTTTCTCCCCTCCCTCCTTTCTCGTACTTGGCCTTGCTGTGTAACCTTAACTGGCATGAAACTTGCTATGTAGATTAGGCTGGCCTCAAATTCACTGAGATCTTCCTGTCTTTGCCTCTGGAACCATGTGCTTTATGCTGGACCCACCTTTGGACTTTTTTAACCTGCATTTTTCATCCACATAAATTCACATGTTAGTCATTTTTTCTGTTGCTTTTAAGCTTATGCATTTTCAAAGATTTTTATTTTGTGTATGTGTGTTTTGCTTACATGTTTGTCTGTGCTCCGTGTGTATACATTGCTCACTGAGGCCAGACCAGAAGAGATGTCAGATGCCCTGGAACTGGAGTTACAAACAGTTGTGAGCTACCACGTGGGTGGGTTCTGGAATCTTCCTCTAGAAGAGCAGCCAGTGCTCTTAATCACTGAGCCATCTCTACAGCTCAAGCTGATAGCTTTTTTAAGCTGATGTATTTCTTTAGCTTTAGATCTATTGGCAAATACAATTAAAATCTAATACATTTTTCAGTTTATAATATTATATAAAATACTAAAATATTCATGTTTAACAATTAGAATACACGTTTTAAAACAACTTTTGTCAAACTTTTAAGTCAATAGTCTGCTGGCTGGTTTTATGTCAGCTTGACACAACTAGAGTCATCAGAGAGGTGAGATCCTCAGTTGAGAAAATACCTCCATAAGATCCAGCTGTAGGATCTCTTAATCAGTGATTGATGGAGGAGCCCTCCCCTCCCCCCATTATGGATGGTACAATTTCTGGGCTGATGCTTCTGGGTTGTATAAGAAAGCAAGCCATGAGGAGCAAGTCAGTAAGCAGCACCCACCCAGGACCTCTGCTTCAGCTCCTGCCTCCAGGTTCCTGTCCTGTTTTGAGGTTCCTGTCCAGACTTCCTAGTGATCTGAAAATATAAGCCAAATAAGCCCTTTCCTCACCATTTTCCTTTTTGGTCATGGTGTTTCATTGCAGCAGTAGAAACTCTAACTAAAGACTGTAGTTTAAAGGACATCTTACGCAAAATCAATTTTCCTGGCTTTTGGATGAAAAAGACAAGGGTGATTTAAGAAATACACAAGTTAAGCAGGATAGAGACAAATAGTAATTTTTATAATTAAAATACTTTAATAGCATGAAGCATCATTTTTATAGGGTAAGATAGTATTTCAGAGCACTAGTATTATTTCAAATTAGAACAGCACCTCATTTCTTTAGTGAGGAATAAAGAGCTAATATTTTATATGTAACTAATATCTACTCTGAGTTTAAAATTCTTCCCTTGGGTATACTGCTTCAGTCAGCACTTACTATGGAATACAGTCTTCTGTATAATAAAGCTCATAACTGAAATTTTAAATAAATTACTTAACAAAAAAAGAGGCTGCACATTTCTCTACCTTCTTTAGAGAGAATACAGACAGCACGATGGAATAACTATTGATGAGTGTCTTCTGGGTCTGTGTCTGTGAATATATGCGCTGTGCAGTGGCTGTCCTTGGAGACTCTGGAGGTACCATAGTACCTTTAGCTAAATGGCCCCATAAGACTTGTGTTTAGAGGTCTTTGTTTTTGCTGCCTGCTGTTTCTTCCTGCTGACTTAGCTGTTGTTTCTTTAAGGTGTGCTTACAGAAGCCCTTTCCTTTACACTTTAAATTTTGACTTGCTGACTATAGCTGTTGTGAACTAGGGAAGGAAATAAACAAATCTGTACCCAGAGGCACAAGCTAACTGAGAGAACTTAAGCAGTCTTAGCATTTTAGATATTGAATACTCAGGGGGAAGAGCTCTGCTGGACTTGGTTATAGTTCAAATGTATGTATGTGAAGAGTTACAGAATATACTGATGATAATATGCTTTAAACACAGCAACTAATTCTTTGTTACTACTTGCTTGAGTGTAGCCATACCTTGGTATGATGAATATGAAAACTATTCAAATCTTTTTATATGTAGTAGAACATTGATCAACATCTTTGGGTCAGTTTATACATCATAGAAAATTTATTCTGCACATGCTCCATACTCTTATATTTCCAATTACTCTTATCTAGTTATACACCTTCCTTCAGTGTTCATTGAGAGCTAAGATAGGACGCAATCTAGGGGGTCTTTTTGATGCTGTTGTCATGAGCAATGTATATCATAAAGGTATCTTATTTTGTGACGACTTCTGTGAGAGGACTTGTCATATTTCAATGTCAACAGTTGTCTAATTCTAGGCAGTTAGTTTATTTACATTTTTGGGCATATGAATATGGAACTTACAACCTTATCTTTGTTTTAGATAGTTGATAGGCTAAATCTGTGACCAGTTTTTAAAAACATATGTACAACATTGTGGTAATTCATTCAGCTCCACTATACCTCTACATATCAAATATAGTTTTGTGTATGTATATATTTGTGCATGTATGTACATGTTTTGTGCATTCGAGTGCATGTGATAGCTTGAGATCAAACTCAGGTGTCATTCCTCAAGCATTGTCTACCCTGGTTCTGTGTCAGAGGGACTATCAATGATCTGGAGGCCACCAAGTAAGGTAGACTGACTGACTAGTAAGTCTCAGGGATCTGCCTCTGCCTCTTCTGCCCAGCCCTGGGATCACAAGTACACTGCAACATGCCTGAGATTTTTGTTTGTTTGTTTGTTTTTAATATAATTCTTGAGATTGAACATAGGTCCTCATGCTTGCAAATAAGTATCTCCCCAGCCAGGGAAATAATATCTACTTAAAATATGCATGTTAAAAAGTATAGGTAGCATAAACATACTGCCCATTGTATTTTTATTTCTTGACTTTTTCCACTCTATAGTGTAAAGAGAATTCCTTAATTATAAAGTCATCTATAGATTTCCTTCACTGTTAATACTAACCAGCTTAATAAATCTGCTTGATTTTCCAAATACTCAAGTACTATCGTTTTCTTGTAAAGCTATGTTGCTTTTTTGCATTTATATCAATAATTCATGT